GGCATGCCTGTATTCAAGAACTGCTGAAGGACATTTAGTTCAGTATCCTTTCTCTGACAGTGGCCAGTACTAAATACTTCAGAGGGAGCTACAAGAGGCCTCCTAATTGCTAGTATTAGAAATTGTCTTAAATCCTGAAGCTTGAGATTGACTATCGCTTCCAAGGCTTATGTTAGCATTAACTATTTATACCTCTGCATCTTCTGCCATCCTTATACATGCCTAACTTTTTTCCTGAATCCTGCCAAATATTTGAGCTAGGTGACATCTGGCAGCCATGGCTTCTTTAGCTCACTAATTCCATTCCTCCGTTAGGATGTTGGAAGAGGAAAAGGACAAGGAGCAGAGAGACCGGATTTGCTCTGATGAGGAAGACGACGAAGAGAAGGGAGGAAAGCGCATCATGGGACCACGAAAGAAATTTCAGTGGAATGATGAAATCAGGTTTGCGTGGTTTGGAGGTTTTGTTCAGCTGTGTTACTTTTTCCCCAGTCCAGGCTCCTGAAATTGCTGAAGTTTTAGTACCTAACCTTAGCTTGTTTAAATTTTTGAGAGGTACTAACCCTTGATAGTAGCAGGCTGCTCAGAGGCTTGGTATTGCCACACCACATTATTTCTGTACTTGCTAGTCCCAGGTTCTGGCTGTGTTCTAAGAATACTCCCGCTTGTCAGGCCCAGGGCCAACTCTGTGGGAGGCATTAAGGAGTCTCAGTATGTATAGGCCAAAGGAGGGAGCTCTTTGGGGAAAGAAGGAGCTGCACTGAAGAGATGGATGTTCTAACAGGACCAGCTTTCATTAATAGAAAACCTACTAGATTATAGGTTGCAGCACCTGAGATTATAGAGCCTGATGAGGGTGCAGTACCTGGGATTATAGACTTGGACAAAAAGAACAATTGGGAATATTGGTGAAGGGAAATGATAGAATTATAGGGCTGGAAGGGACCTCAAAAGGCTGTCTAGTCCAGTGCTCCGGTCAAGCCAGAATCATCATCTGTCTAAACCATTTCATCCAAGAGTTTGGAAGGTAAAAGTGAGTTATCCAGTGATGAAAACTCCCCGTTCTCTCTCGGTAATTTGTTCCAGTACTCAGTCAGCCTTGTAGTTGAAAGTTTTTCCTAAAATCCAATTCTCCTGAAATCTAATTTCCCTTGTTACAACTTAAAACCATTACTTCTTGTTCTGTCCCCCATGGCCACAGTGAATTGTCAGTCACCAGCCTCTTTATAACCATCTTTTATGTGTTTTGAAGATTTATCAAATCTCCCTCTTGGTCTTCTGTAACAGGGTGTAGTGAAATCTGGTTGCTGCCTCCTTTTCACTGCGTGTCATAACAGGAGGGACACTGTTATTGCCAGTTTCCTTTAGAATATGAAGGAGATTTCACACAGCATAGATTGAGTCTTCTGTAAAAAGCTGCTGCAGGGAGTTCTCAAGACAATGGAGGCTCATTTTTATAGCTGTTAACACTTGTAATTATGGCCTGTTGATTATACCTGGTGGGGGGGGTGGGGAAGATAAGGGAGTTGGGAAGGATTTGCCCCTATTACTCTTGTGGCACAGTGGGTGGTGGGCATTATTGGGGAAGTATTGCTCTTCTCTGAAAGATTGGCTGTTGGGAACACCTGGGCTATGGATCCTAAACTGAACTGGTCTATGGTCTGTTGCAGACTGGCATAACCTAATGTGTGGAGACTGATTCAGTCCAGTCTCAAAATGTCCACCAAACTCTGGGGATAGAGTGCACCTCCTTTGGGGGAAGTTTTGAGTAACCTTTGTCTGAAGTCTGCCCATCCCTCAGGGAGCTGCTTTGCCATGCGGTGAAGATGAAAGTGGATGGCTATGAGCTTGAGAAAAACAAGGTTCAGTCTTTGGAAGATTATTTGAAAACCTTCCTAGATGCGGAAGTGAAAGCCCTCTGGCCAAAGGGCTGGATGCAGGCCAGGTGAGTGAGGTCAAAGCTGACTCATTTTAGCATTCCTGGTGTTCCTTACTGAAAGAATCTCTAAGTCCATCTAGAGTTGGTGAGAATCCCACAGTATCCCTGCTGTGTCCCTGTCATCAAGAAGGAAGGC